TCCCCTGAATCCCAGGTCTGCTGGCCCCCACTCCAGGACATTCCCTCAGTAGCCTGTGCTTGGCTGTAGCGCAGAACTTGGGACCTTGTTTCAATTCCCTGTTCTCTTTCTCCCAATCTCCCCCAGTAGGATTATGCTTTATTTATTGTCATATCCCCAACACCTGGCACAAGTATAATATAATAAACACTACTGAAAATTACTGAATTAAAACATTCCGTGAAGGACTATCACCTCTCACTCATTTCTGGTATTCAAATCATTGGAAGGTATTGTTAAGAAAATAATTCATTTTTACTCTCTGAAGACATGACTTCCTAAAAAGGACTGAAATCTTGGAAGCCGCTTCAGACTGTACATACTTATTCAAAAAGCTGGAATAATAAAACGGAAAACATTATGCAATATATCAAGTTGGTTTTTATTTGTTTATTTAATGTGCTATTACAGCTGCTGGGAGTTATTCTTTTGTTTTTTCTTTCACCCATTTCTGAAGGTAGATCCTAGATATCTTTAAATTGTTGAAACTAGCAAAAAGTGTACGTTGGTATACAAATCTCAGTTCACAAATCAGATATGCAAAGGCCCTGAGATGGGGATGTACACAAAGTCCAAGAAACAGCAAGGAGGCCCTTGGGACTAAGTGAGAAGAAGGAAGTAAGAGAGAGGAAGTGCCTGTAGTTGAGTTCAGAGAGATGGTAGGGTCATGGGGCCAGGTCATCGCAACTTTGTGGACTGCTGCAAAGCTTTTAGCTTTCACATTAAGATGTGACAGCATCTGGAGGTCTTTGAGGAGCAGAAGAAGGGTAAGGACAAAAACCGGGGAGCAATTCAGAGCCTACTACAATAGCCCCATGAGAGAAAGAATGGAGACATGACTTAGAATGGTAATGGTGGTCATGGTGAGAAGTTTGAAAAAATTTGAAGGTCAAGTTGGCACGATTTGCAGATGAACCCAACATGGATTTCCTGACTACTACGTATCCCATGAGAACTCCATCATCCAATTTGGTCATCAGGCCATTAATGATCCCTTCAGATCCAATATCTCCTTTCAGTACTTATGTGTCACACTTCAGACTCATCCCGCATGCATGGGATTGCAAGAATAGAAACTTATTTCCCAGCAGAAGTCAAAGGTTAACCTCTTTTAGTCCCATTGTAGGAGTCAATATAGCTGTGGAATCTTCTTATGGACTCATGCTTCCTAGAAAGCATCCAGGTAATCAAAGCTGGGAAAATAAACTAATTAAAATTAAATTAACTTTTTATATTCATAAATAAATGCTGTACCTGGAAATAATCAATAATGTAAAAAGTCAGGTTTTTGTTTTGTTTCCTTTGGTTGGTACCATGTATTGTGTCCTTTATTTATATTTTCAAATCACTTAATAAACATTATTTTTTAACAAAGGCAGCAGTATTTCTTGGAGAAATTACTGATTTTAGGACCGGGGCGGACAATATACAATATAAGCCTGGAGCATCTTTTAGCACCAAAAAACAAGGAAGTATTTAAAAAGCAAAACGGTGGAAGTATGTCAAACGGGCACAGGAGTTAACTGAAAGAGCTTCCCATAGCCAAAGTTGGAACAACAAAATACATAAAGTAGTCATGGATTGTAATCCAAAGTATAAAATAAATATCCATGAACCCAATCATAAATAAATGATTAAATAAATAAAGGATAATAGACAAGTCTTGCATGCAGAACAATTCCAAATAATGTATGTAGATTCTCTGCCCTCAAGGACATGGAGCATGATTCCAATTCTTTTTCTTTTTTTTTTTTTAATTGAGACATGGTCTCACTCTGTTGCCCAGGCTGGAGGGTAGTGGTGCGTCTCGGCTTACTGCAGCCTCAACCTCCTAGGCTCAGGCGAACCTCCCACCTCAGCCCCACAAGTAGCTGGGACCATATGCAGGTGCCATCATGCCCAGCTAATTGTTGTATTTTTAGTAGAGACAGGGTTTCACCATGTTTCCCAGACTGGTCTCAAACTCCTGGGTTCAAACAATGCTCTTGCCTTGGCCTCCCAAATTGCTGAAACTACAGGCACAAGCTACCACACCCAGCCCCAACTCTCTAAGTGTGAGTTATAAGTGGTTATCTCCTGTCTCCAAAAAAGTACAGTTTTTTAAAATCCTGGAGAAACCTGACAAAGACTACCTCAGCCGGGTGTTCAAAGTTAATATCATCAGTGACCAATCATGTTAATGACACGTACCCTAATATGGTTTGACTATGTCCTCACCCAAATCTCATCTTGAATTGTAGCTCCCATAATTCCCATGTGTTGTGGGAGGGATTTGGTGGGAGATAATTGAATCATAGGGGTGGTTTCCCCCATACTGTTCTCATGGTAGTGAGTAAGTCTCACGAGATCGTATGGTTTTATAAAGGGTTAACCCTCTTTCTTGGTTCTCATTCTCTCTTCCCTGCCACCATGCAAGACATGACTTGCTCCTCCTTGCCTTCCGCCATGATTGTGAGGTTTCCCCAGCCATGTGGAACTGTGAGTCAATTAAACCTCCTTCCTTTATAAGTACCCAGTCTCTGGTATGTCTTTATCAGCAGTGCAAAAACAGACTAATACATACCCTTTGATATGATGTGATGAGAGTGGCATTTGGCCTCTGCGTTCTTTCTCCCAGATATCTGCAACCCCTGTCTAACCATGAGAAAATCATCAGGACCAGCCAAATTGAAGAACGTTGTATAACAGCAGTCCCCAACCTTTTTCGCATTATGGGCTGGTTTCACAGAGGATAATTTTTCCACAAATGAAGGTGGTGGGGATGGTTTTGGGATGTTTCATGTGCATTACATATATCGTGCACTTTATTACTATTACATGTAATATATAATGAAATAATTATACAACTCACCATAATGTAGAATCACTGGTAGCCCAGGGCTTGTTTTCCTGCAACTAGATGGTCGCATCTGGGGTGATGGGAGACAGTGACAGATCATGAGGCATTAGAGTCATAAAGAGCATGCAACCTAGATCCCTCGCATGCAGAGTTCATAGTAGTGTTCTCACTCCTGTAAGAATCTAATGTCCTCACTGATCTGACAGGAGGTGGAGCTCAGGCGGTAATGCCAGCAATGAGGAGTGGCTGTAAATACAAAGGATGCTTCTCTCACTTGCTTGCCCCCCACTCACCTCCTGCTGTGTGACCTGGTTTCTAACAGGCCAAGAGCTGGTAACAGTTCATGGCCTGGTGGTTGGGGACCCCTGTTCTATACAATACTTGACAAGGACTCTTCAGTACTGTCAAGGTCATCAAAAACAAGGGAAACAATGGGAGCAATTATGGCCAATATTCCATTTTCAGAAGCTTAAAGCTGTAGATCTTAAAGATGGTCAAACAATGAAGCTAGCTATTGAATAGAATCACATTTCTCACTGTGTGGCCATCTTGGTGTCTCGTTTCATTTGACTTTATTTTTCTTAGTATAGACAGTCAACCATGCTACTCTGTCCTGTGCCTGCTTCAACCTCTTCCCAAACTGGGGATTCCCAGTCAGTAAAGTAGGTGTTGAGATCTGGAGAAGGGATGAGCCTTCCCCAAAACTTGCATGCCCCTGTGCTGTTTGTTACTAAAGGTTCCCTTTCCAGTTCTCTTTGTGTAAGTTGTTAGACTTGGATGTAGAATAGGATGGAAGACCAGGCAGTGAGTCCAGTCCCCTCGTCAGCTCCAAGTTTCTCTGCACCATGGACACTCATGGAAGGGAGCCCTCTGATCACCAAGAACAGCACTTTTTGGACTTTCTCAGGAATACAGCTTGACATATTTCAACACAACCTTTCTTCCTTTTGGAACCAGAAGATAAAGGGAATTCACTCTTTCAGTTGCCTCTGGAAAATTTTAGGCTCTAGACAAAATGTGTATTCCTAAGTATATGTGTCTGAGTGACTTCTTAATTACTCCCACTGAAACAACCTCACTGTCAGCAGAATTTTTGCACAACTACATCCAACTGTAATCCCTCAGATAATTCTCACGCTAGTTCCGGGATTAAGGAACTGGTAAATATCATGGGAACCCTGTGAATCAGTGTGAAAGAGCCAAGACAATATTATTCCCTAAGTCCTTTCCACATTAAGATAGAAGAGATGCCATTGAAATAACCGGCCTTCAGAGGGGTGTTGAGCAGAATTTTCTGAAGTTGGATGATTCCTGAGGTTCATGTGAACATTATTCAAGATGTTGGAATTCTTAGAAGAAGGTTGCAGATTTTAGGTAAAAAAATAAAAGTCTGCATGTGTGCGTGTGCCTGGGGTGTCTGGGTGTTTATGCATAGAGTGAGAAATAAGAATAAGAAAAATTAAAATCTAGGTGTAATCATTAAGATTCACAAATACACTATGACTAAAAATAATGTAATATGTATACAAGATGCTGCATTCCGGGGAGAACCTTCCTTTAGTAACAGACAGCACAAGTTAGAAATGCTAACAAAGAGTACGTTGTGGAATGAGAGACAGAGTTGAGGTCAGTTTGGAATTGGGGAAAAGGCAGCTTTTGCTCTCTGCGACCTCTTGAATGATACGGACAAGACATTTTTCTCAGTCTTGTTTTCTCTAGACAGATCTTCTCAGGCTGAAATCAACAGAGGTAATTCTTAGCCTGAACTTCAACCTGCAGTAATAAATGAAATATTTCAAACGCTCACAAAAGTTGAGAGACTCAGACAATAAACACCTGTCTACCCCTCTTTAGATCTAACACAAAAATAAGAAGTTTATGGTGTAGATGACAGGGGAAAACTTCCCCTTCATCCTCTGAAAGTTCACTGAAAATCAGCTGACAAAAGGCAGACAATTAGGAGGAAAGGAATACAAATTTATTTCATCATAGTTTTACATGACATGGGAGCCTTCCGAATGAAGACCCAAAGATACAAGGAAAAGGTTCATTTTTATGTTTAGGTTCAACAAAGTATGGACAGCCATGTAGAAATACGATTGGACAAAAAAGGTATGGTCGCTTGCTTTGGCAGCACATATACTAAAATTGGAACAATACAGAGGAGATTAGCAGGCCCCTTTACCAGGATGGCACGCAAATTAGTGAAGCACTCCATAAAAATAAAAATTTAAAATTTAAAAAAAATGGTATGATCTCATGCTAACGGACAATGGGGAAACCCAGCAAGGCCTGTCTGTTTAGATCGTATTTGGCCTCTCTGTGCAGCAATTCCTTCCTCCTGGGTATGAGGAAGTGCTCTGTGTGTGTGTCTCTCTCTCTCTCTCTTTCTCTCTCTCTCTCTCTCTCTCTCTCTCTCTTCTGGAATGGAGTTCCTATGACCTGCAATCAAACAAAGTAGACCTGAGAATTTATTTATGGCCGACTCTTACACAGAAAGGTGGAGTCATGGGGAAGTTAGAGTAATATGTTTAGGTTTTATGGCTGGCTTTGGAGAAAGAGGGTTCTGGTTTCCATGACCCGCCTTAGGGAAGAGGTATTGGAGTTTCTACAGCTAACCTTGGGGAAGAATGAAGGACCAGCCACCCGACACAGGAAGGCAGGAGGAGGTCAGAGAAAAACTTTTACTTCTGAGGCTACTTCTGAGGCCTTCATTATGGGGTATTGTTTTCTGAGAGCTTACAATAGCAATGATTTTCTTTTATCTGTCTTTCCATGCTGTCATGTTTGCACCCTTTCTTTCCAGCCAAACTTCCCACTCATTAGCAACTTTCATACATTTAAATAGTCTCCTAAGGCCAGAAGGTCCTTTCTCCCCATTCCTATATGGCCGAAACATAAATGCCACTTCCTCCTTACAGTTTCACTGAGCCTCTTATTTGGAAATCATCCTCTTCTCACACTCAGCTCTTCATCTGTCCTTAGATGGCCCCCATCACTCCCATGTAACTATCAGATTTCAATGCTTCCCACTCACTGCATTTAGATTTTATTCCTTTCTCTCAAATAACCTAGAATTCTTCCCATACTCCATCAATATTTGCTAAATAATTGGATGGATTAAAAGTAGCAGAAGGGTGAAGCGGAAGCTGGGGGATGTTGTCTTTAAATTACCAAAGGCAGTTCATGAACATGAGACCTATTTCTTTTTGACCAATAGGCCCGGCCTGGGGTCTGGGATATGGTTTACCTTCCACCCGTGTGTGTGTAAACAATGTGCTGTTTACATGGGGGTCCCTTTGCAGAGTTTAATAACTAAATTGGTTTTCCTCACATTTCTAGTAACTATACTGAGTTGGTGTTCCTAGCAACCATTTCCTCTCTCTTTAAGCTAATCAGGACTGGTAGCTACCATTTAGTTCAATGCACTCCATTTACTGATGAGGCTCCACTGTTAGAGTTACCCGGCGTAGCACTAATCATGACAGATAACCAGCCCGTATGCTGAGAAGCTTACACATGCTAATTCTCCAACCCTCATAACTTCCTTGTGAGGTGAGTAATATTATTATCCCCATTCCACAGATGAAAAAGTAGAGGCTCAATAAGGTTATGCACTTGCTCAAATTGCACAGTGGCAAAGCCAGGACTTGAACCCAGACGAGCCTTGATCCCAGAGCCCTTGCACTGAACAGTTTCTCTGGTCCGCTAATAAGATGTCAGAGAAGAAGCCAAACCAAGCAAGTGCTCTTTTTACTGTCATACACTGTCACCACTCTCTGGGTCACTGGAAGGCAAATACCTCCTAATTCCTTCGAAACAGCAAATGTTCTGATGAAGTGGTTGAGGATACACATTTGGGAAACATACAGCTCCTCCAAAAGAATGTCCATAAATATATTGGAAATACATTTATTAAAGAAGTCGTGTGTGGGAATTATTAACCTGGAGTTTTCTTTAAGTTAGCATACATATAATTACACTTATTACAGATTAGGCAATGCTCTAAGTACTGATGCTCTACATAGATTAATTTATTTAACCCTCACAAAAGTCTTATGAAGGAGATGCTATTGTCTCCAAATTACTGATACAGAGAATGAGGTCAAGGGATGAAGCAATTTGCTCGTGTTAGCACAACCAGTAAGTGCTCAGTTGGGATTTGAACAGGCTGTGTGGTCCCAGAGTCTAGCAGGCATCTACCTCGAAGGTAAAATACTTCTTGGCAGCTTGCTTTTGGATTTACCTATTAAATAGATTTTGGACAAAATTGCATAGAGAGGAAAGAAAACTTGAAGACAAAGTGAGCTAAGTGAGAAGAAATATCTTCATTTAAATTGGAGAACACACCCAAAGAATGGGAAGAAGGGGACTTTTGCCCTTCATTTGTTTCTAATTATGGAAAGAAAAAGGAGGTAAACTAGGAAGAAAGAAAATAAGGCCCATTTCAAAGATATACCAAAAAAAAAAAGAAAGAAAAGAAAGAAGAAAGGAATTCAAAAGCAACACAGTTATAAGGTAAGTGTATGTGTAATAGCTTTTTAAAAAACTGCCAGCCAGGCACGGTGGCTCACGCCTGTAATCCCAGCACTTTGGGAGGTCAAGGTGGGTGGATGACCTGAGGTCAGGAGTTCAAGACCAGCCTGGCCAACATGGTGAAACCCTGCCTTTACTAAACATACAAAAATTAGCTGGGCATGGTGGTGGCCACCTGTAATCCCAGCTACTCGGGAGGCTGAGGTGGGAGAATCGCTTGAACCCGGGAGGCAGAGGTTGCAGTGAGCCAAGATGGTGCCACTGCACTCCAGCCTGGGCGACAGAGCAAGACTCCATCTCAAAAAAAAAAAAAAAAAAAAAAAAAAAAAAAAAAACTGCCAAACTATTTTCAAAAGTGATTGTACCCTTTTACCTTCCCACTGGAGTTCCATTCCTCTACGTCTTTGTCCACTCTTGATATAACAATCTTTTTCATTCTAGTGACTCTACTATATACTATTTTTAAATTACACTGTGGTTTTAATTTATATTTTCTCAGTGATAAATGATGTTGAGCCTTTTCATGTGCTTATTTGCTATCTCTGTGTCTTCTTGCTGAAGTGTCTGTTCAAATAATTTGTCCTTTTTTCTCTTCTGTTTTTTTAACTTCTTTTAGCGACTTCGCTTTGTTAAAATAATTTGTCTTTGTTGCTTAATTGGGTTGTTTGTTCTCTTACTATTGAATGTTAAGAGTTACAGCCATTCCACTCCTAGCTAGTTACCCAAGAGAACTGAAAACATAAGTCCACACAAAGACCCAAACGTGAATGTTCATAGCAGCTTTATGGGTAATATTCAAAAGCCACAAATAACCCAAATGTTCACCTACAAGTAAACAGATAAGCAAACTGTGGTATATTCATACAATAGAAAGGAACAAAATAGCAGTACACACAAAACGATGGATGAATTTCATGGTTGAAAGAAGGCAGACAAGAAGAAAATACACATAGAATTTCACTTATAGAATATTGTAGAAAATACAAACTAATATACAATGACAGAAAGCAGATCAGTGGTTGCCTGAACAAGGAAGGGTAAATGGGACAGGTTACAAAGGGGCACAAGGACATTTTCTGGGTGATAGGTATATTCACTCTCTTAACTATAGAGATGGTGTCACAGGTATATACTATGTCAAAACTTATCAGCTGAGTGCAATGGCTCACGCCTGTAATCCCAGCACTTTGGGAGGCCGAGGTGGGTGGATCACAAGGTCAGGAGTTCGAGACCAGCCGGGCCGATATGGTGAAACCCCGTCTTTACTAAAAATACAAAAATTAGCCAGGTGTGGTGGTGTGCACCTTTAATCCCAGCTACTCGGGAGGCTGAGGCGGGAGAATCACTTGAACCCGGGAGTCAGAGGTTGCAGTGAGCCGAGATCACGCCACTGCACTCCAGCCTGGGAGACAGAGTAAGACTCTGTCTCAAAAAGAAAAAAAAAATTATCAAAGTGTGAATTCAAATATGTGCAGTCTATGGTATGTCAATGATAGCTCAACAAAAATTATTTTTTAAGAAAGAAATTGAAACAACAGAAGAGAAGCTCTGGGCAATATTTTTATTTCCATAGCTAAGGAGCTATTTACCACCCAGGGGTTTCAGTACCTAAAGTAGATTAAAGTAGAGAAAGAAACAAAGAAGTCCCCTTAAAGAAGAGTAGAGCAATAGAGATGAATTTTATGGCTTAAATATTTTCTAATTTTTCACAAAAAAAAGTTTGTGATTTAAGAAGACAGGGGTGCTGCTTCCGTATAATTCAATCCAGTGGGGGGCCATTTTGCAGACAGGGGTTCTTAGAACTATTTAAATGGAGCATCCAGTCTCGGAAAAAAACAACAAAATCCTCAGCCCTGTGAAACTCAAGGTGTTCTAGTCACACCAAGTAAGCACTGCCTTACTCACACAACAAACTAATCCCATTTTTATATTTCCCATGCCACAAGTCTCTTTCTAAATAGTTAACATCCCCCTCTGTTTATCTTGAATAATGTTCTAAGTATCTTGAATAACTGGAACATTATTTTATGCATTTTATACATTTTTAAAAATTGTAATTTACATAAGTGTATGCATGATTGTGTAATAAAATGTCATTTTACATGCATTGGCAATAAACTTGAAATTGTATTTCATGTGGTGGTAATATCTCACAAGTTTTCAAGCCAAATACGTGAATCTGTTAAGAGAGAGTAAACATTTTCTGAAATAACATTATTTTTTCCAAGATATTCAGGAAAGAGAAAACATGATTCAATGGAGTTGGGAAATGTCACCAGAGTAAAAGAATTTATATTTCTGGGACTTACTCAATCCCAAGACCTGAGCTTGGTCTTGTTTCTTTTTTTATGTCTTGTGTACATGACGACTCTGCTGGGAAACCTCCTCATCATGGTCACTGTGACTTGTGAGTCTCGCCTTCACACCCCCATGTACTTCCTGCTCTGCAATCTAGCCATCCTTGACATCTGCTTCTCCTCCATAACTGCTCCTAAAGTCTTGCTGGACCTTCTGTCAAAGAAAAAGACCATATCCTATACAAGCTGCATGACACAGATATTTCTCTTCCACCTCCTTGGTGGGGCAGACATTTTTTCTCTCTCTGTGATGGCGTTTGACCGCTACATGGCCATCTCCAAGCCCTTGCACTATGTGACCATCATGAGTAGGGGTCGATGCACTGCCCTC